CTAATCCCTATCTTTTCATGTATTCTCCTTACAAAAATGAGGTTTGGTTCCTCTACAATCCATGACAAAAGCTTTAAAAAAAGAAGAGGGAAATTAGGGGACCCTTCTTCGCAGTGTATTTGCTGCTGGTACGTAGTATATACTAGAAACCGCCCCGTACAAGTATTTCATACAAGTGTTCTCCTTTCTCTTCACAAAAAATATTGATACATACTGATAAGCAGTGAAAGATAAAATGGGACCTATACAGAAAGTGGAAGCTTTTAGAAGTTGTTGGTTTAACGTGGAGTTTATGGTGACGAGTTATAGATAGAGATAAAGGACCGTATGAGTTTAGATTAAGTCAAGGGAAATGCTATTTGGACCTGGGACTTTATTTAGGGACCGAAAGATATACAACCATTGAATTGGTTGTGGACTTCATCTAACATTAGAATTTACAATTAATCTAATGATTTCATTAAAGCCACATCATTAGGTCATTAAATAAATTCTCAAACAAGGTCCCTATTGCATTGCTCGTAAGTAAAAGTTAACTAGTTAAACTAACTTGGAAGTTTAACAAGAGCAGTTATGACACGAGTTTCTTCTAATTAGAGGAAAATTTGAATTTGCATCTAATAATTCAGAACTCTAGAATTTTAGAAAAGTAGGAGAAAAAACTTCTAAAATCTCACGTCAAAGAAAATGATCGTTGTTGTAATGTAAATAGATAGATACACATTCAAAAATACAGGCTAACGGTCTCCCTTCTTGCAATTACAAGTGAGGAGAGCCCTTTGGGGAGGGGGGGGGTTTACTTTGGTGTCAACTTGTACGTTGAACAGTACTGCTCAAACTAAGGACCTCATACTATGACTTTGAGTGGAATTGTTGGAAAAGTTGGGTTAGGGTGAAGTTATGGAATGAGTGGCAAAAATGGCCCTCAATTCAAACTACTGCATTAGACTAACAGTTTGCATTGTCTTCAATTATACATATTTGTTTACCACTCAAGTTGATGGTCTAGTAGTAAGATGTATTCGTTTAATGTCGTCCCTAACTCCTATGTGATTAACAAATAGGGCTCTATCTATGGGAATAATGTGGTTTGTTATTAGTGTGGTGACAAATTGTTCTCTCGAATTAATAGCTATGGTTCAAACTGAATATTTTACTGTAGAAAGGACCCTCGTGATCACATCCAAGGGTTACTACCTATTAGTCTCCCCTCTTTTTTTGCTTGTTTAAAAAAAAAATTTATACATATTTGTTTAATCACATAAAAAAATTAGAAGACAACGAACATAATTGGCCAGGTTGGCTAAGTAATTTGATTCGGTCAAACTACTACTATGTGTACTGTCACTATGCAAGTGAACAAAAGTGGATGTACTGAAGGAGCGGTTAAGATAGGGTCAATGAAATAACTCTCGCAGTTTGATTTTTTATTTTTTTTAGAATGAGTTTATAACGTACACTTTTTAGTTGTTATAAAACCCAGGTGGAGGAGAAAACACATTGCAACCCTAGCACAAATCTTTCATCATATCTCTGTTATCTTCTATTATATATACTTCAAACATTGTTTTTCAGATTTAAATTCAATACAAAAGGTGTTTGTGATGAAGATTAAAGGAATCCTGCTGACAGCTGCAGCCAATCTAAAATTGTCAAACGAGTAAAGTTGTAAGGATACTCTAAAATACAGTCATTTGATTAGCAATAAGTTATAATGTTAGATGGACTTTCAATCTAATGGTTGCATTAAATTAGGTCACAAATTAGGTTCCAAATTAGGTCTTAATAACATTTTCCTTGTTAAAAAAGAATACTACTCTCTCGCACAAATTTATTTCGCATTTGATGCCTCCATCAGATCAACAAGAATTTAGCATACATATACAAATAACATCCTCTGAGTCGTAACTTGGTGTGTTTAAATCATAATGAGTTTTGGTAGATTGTAGCTTTCGGTATTGGAACGAAATGTATAGTAGAAAAACTCCATAGCAGCAGAATCATTAAAAAAAAATTCCCAGTCAGTACACAAATCTTGGGGTCGGACTTGGCAAGGACTCCTAGCAGTTACTAATAAAAGCCTTAATTAAAAGCAAATTAGGGTGCATCACCAAAAAAAATGGAGCAGTCTTATGTCAGAGGCTGAACACTCTAGTTATAGTTAGAAATCAATCGTGTCGTATCTAGTATCTAAGTTGTAGTGTACCAACATGGCCTGGAAGCATCCACGCACAACTCGCCAACTCAGAAAGATTTCTTTTTTGTCGGAAATCAGTAGAACTATATTAAGAACAAAAGACATGTACAATAAGACACCATGTACAGGAGACCTAACAAAAGGAACAAAATTGTAAGCCTAACAAACAACTCAAAAGGCACAGCTTGGAAAGAGAATTTTGATGGAGGTATAGGCTTTCAGCCAATACTTCCACCCAAATACAACTTCCAAGTTGCGAGATGTGAAACCCTTAATGAGCAAAGAGCCAGAAGAGCTCAAAACAATGGGAGACCAAGCATAGCTTAGATCAAGCAAGCTTCAGGAAGGTTCCATTGTTGCAACAGAATTGCATTTTGTTGAGTTCTCTTGAACTTCAAGGATATGAGCCCTTTCTCTAATGGTTTGCTTGATAGATTGAGAATGAGAATTTGGGTCCTTGCTCTGATTTTTGAAAATTCTCTCATTCCTCTCATTCCACAAAGAATAAACAGAAACTGAGAGACTTATCTTTAAAATAGTTGTCTTCATTGATTTTCCCCTCCAATGTTGAGCAGCCCATGAGATTGATTCAGCCCATTGTCTCTGCTGCCACTGCTAGTTGCTTAGGAGCATAACACCATTCTAAACCCTGTTAGAGAATCTACATTCAAAAAACAAATGGTTGTGTGTCTCTTCGACTCTTCTACATAGAACACATTGTGGGTCAATATGAGTTGCAAATCTTTGAATTCCATCCTTAGTGCTTAGCTTACATCTAATAGGCCAAAGGATGAAGGCCATTCTTGGGATAGCTTTACCATACCAAACTAATTTATGCCACTGCATGGTTGGTCCTTCACTCCTAATGTGTTCCCAGGCAGATATAGAAGAAAACATACCACCCGCAGTTAATGTCCACTTGACAGAGTCCTCCGTATCTTGGTCAGGAAGGTAACTTGGCATTGCATTGATGATCTCCTGAACTTGAGTGGATGTACCAAATGTCCAATTCCATTGGTTGTTCAAAACAATTCTGCAAACCTTCACGTCCCTTGGAATTCTGGTTTCAAGTAAAATCCTTGGGTTGCTTCTTTGAAGGAGTGGACCAAGGGGATGCCAGATGTCCAGCCATAGGCTTGTTGAGCTCCCATCTCCTATCCTATGAATAAGGCAAGGCCTAAGCAGCTTTCTAAGTTTCAGCAAGTTTCTCCAATTCCAAGAGCATGCTTGGGAGGCTTTGAATTCCCATAGGATTCTTCCTTTGATGTAAAAGGCATGGATCCACTGAGCTCATAAATTCTCCTTGTCATTAAAAAGCTGCCACAAGTGCCTCATAAGCAAAGCTCTATTCTAGTCCCTCAACCTTTTGATACCAAACCCTCATTCTTTAGGTTTGCACACCTCTTTCCAAGAGACCTTTGCTTCCGTATGGCTAAGATCAGTGCCCTTCCAAATAAAGGATCTCAGGATCTGTTCAATTCTATGAATAACCTTATGTAGAAGGCTCAAATGAGAAGCCCAGAAGATGTGCAAGCAGCTGAGAATGGATATGACAGGTTGAATTCTTCCAACATATGAAAGTGATCAATTGACCCAAGACTTAACTCTTGATTCCACCTTTTCAGTAAGACTAGAGCAGTGTTGATACTTCAAACCAGATGAAATGAGTGAGACTCCTAAATATCTGATAGGCAATTTCCCTTCCTCAACTCTAAACAAATTCTTGATATGGCTAGCAATATCTTCATGTATTGCACACATGAAAATATTACTCTTTTCTGCATTAACTTGAAGCCCTGAAGCCACACTGAATTGGTCCAAAGAATACTTAATCACAAAACCAGAGTTCATATCACCATAGCAAAACAACATCAGGTCATCAACAAATGAAAACTGGGCAATCTTGAGGGTTTTACACCTCCAATGGAATCTGAAGCTAGGATTTGATCTAATGTTGAACTGGAAGAAGAGAGATAAACACTCCATTGCAATGACAAAAAGGTAAGGGGACATAGGGTCACCTTGTCTTAAGCCCCTCCTACTAGGGAAGTATCCAGCAAGCCCACCATTGATATTCACTGAGAATCTAGCAAAACTAACACATACTTGAATCCATCTTCTTATGGTGTGAGGGAAGTTAAGAGCCTCCAAAGCTTCAAACAAGAAAGCCCATTCAAGTGTGTCATAAGCTTTCCTCTAATCCACCTTTATACCACATCTAGGGGACCCTTTATTTTTGTGGTAATTCCTCATTAACTCTTGAGTGAGAAGAATGTTGTCTCCAATCTTTCTACCATGGACAAAGGCAGCTTGGTTTGTGTTTATAAGACTGGGAAGAGATCTTTTAATCCTGTTTGCAATGATTTTGGATATTGCTTTATACATGACATTACAACAAGAAATAGGTTTGTAGTCCCCCATAGTTGTAGGATTGGGAACCTTGGGAACTAAAGCAATGGTGGTACTGTAAAGCTCCTTCAATAACCTTCCAATAGAGAAAAATTCCTTCACAGTAGCAACAATATCCTTCCCTATGATTTGTCAAGCCCTTTTAAAAAACAAAGCATTGAAACCATCAAGACTTGGGGCTTTTTGGTCATTAAAGGAGAAAAAAACTTCCTTGATTTCGTCCTCAATGACATCCCTCTCCATATCAGCAGCTTGTTGTTCAGTAACTCTATTTTGGATAATAGGTTGCAACATATCCCTACTCTCATAAGTACTAGAGGAACATCCCGGAAGCTCTTGAAAGTAATCCAGAGCCTCAACTTTCACTGCTTGTTCCCCTTCAACTCTTGTACCATCAGCTTTCATAAGAACCAAAATCTTTTTTTTTGTTCCTTTTATTAGCCATAGTCTTGTGAAAGAAAGATGTATTCTTGTCCTCTTCACTGAGCCATTGGACCCTTGATTTCTGTTTGTAAAATCCCTCCTCAATCTTAGCAGCTTGAATGTAGTTTGCAAGGAGTCGTTGTTCTTCTTGATTCATGGCAGGGTCACTTGGGTTATCATCCAGCATTCTTTGACATCTCTCCAAAGCTTCCTTGGCTTCTTTGGCTTCTTTGGCTCTAATTGTAACTTCCCCAATATTCTTGGTTATCCCTTTAAACATTGTCTTGAGAAGCTTTAATTTGTGGCAAAATCGATACTGTAAGGTCCCTTGAATAGGTTGTGACCAAATCTGATTCACCAAATCTAAGAAATTCTCTCTTAGCAATAAAGTTAAAAAAATAGAAAGGGTTGTTTCTCCTTTGGACTTGAATCCCCAAATGCACAACAGCAGGACTATGGTCAAAAAAATTCCAGGCTGGAGAAGAGTGGTATCTATCTAGCCAGCATAGATGCTTGCTTGTTGAGCAATGACTTTGACAAAGAAAAATCATAAATCAACATTTTTGGGTCAATTTATAACTTGTAGTATTCAAGTTTTATTTTTTATTTTTTATTTTTTGCCACTATAGTCTTCCAATAACCAAAAAACTTGGACAAAATATTCTCAACATGGGGCCAACTCTCCTCAATAATACTTCATGAATCAGCATCTAATGATTACGTACATGAAACATAGCCATTGCTTTTAAATTTTGAGTACTACTATACTGTATGCAATCAGAATTGGGTAACGATGCTTCTTGCGTTATTAGTTTATGGGCAAATTCTATTTTGCCCCTTGTGGTTGGAGTAGTTGTGCTTTACCAGTTGTGGTTTTTTAATATGTACTTTACCGTCTTATGCTTTTAAACTTACTAGTTGGTGCATACGTGCGTTGCACGTAAATTGTTTTGAATATGAAATTGTTATTTAATCATATAAACCCTCAATTTTTTTCTTTGTGTTCTTGTAGGTATTCATCAAAAGTTTTACAGGAAAATTTCTTGTCTCTTTTGTCATGACGAAGATAGTATTTTCAAATCTTGTTCTGGTATCAATCTGACATTTTACATTGCTAAATATTAATCTAAAAATAACAATTTTAGACAATTCACTGTTTCTCCAGAAACCAATAGAGAGAACATGACCAAAACATATGGGCACATTTTTTTAATCATAATTTGTTGTCAACAAAACTAATCTTTATTATTAGGACCTTGAACTGTTCACATGGAGAACAGTACTCAATGATGTGTTTCACTTCATAACAAGTTATTATTCACAAGACAAATAAAATGTGCACTATTCACTATATATTTTAATATTAGAAAGATCGTCTAAATCATTTAGATTTATTGTAACTTATTCTATCTCATATGTTTATAGATGATAGACGCTTAATTTAAATTAATAGATTAATATTGTCTTATAATTCAAATTTTCATTTATCAAACAAAAACCACCATCACTTGTAAATGTTAACTCTATCTAAACATACAACAATCACAAGTAGATTTTTGTCATCTAAAGTAAACACCAAACAATGGTTATCCTATAAATTTTGCATATAAGTTGATAGAACAATTGTGATATGGATATATTAATATTTGACTCTATCGAAGTAAGATAAGAATGTGGGAATTGAGTATCTAATATCTACGTCTATGTCTCTTGGCTTCCTTTTGTTCAATATCTACAAATCAATACAGGAAGGTAAAACAATATTCATAATCAATGGTTTGAATGCATCTCTCTGCATTGAGAACAAATTGTAGAAAAATAACAAGCTAAAAAATTCTCAACAAAATTGTTATAAGAAAATTAAGATTTTGTAAATGCAATGGCAAGTATGATCAATGCACAACTACTATTTCCAATTGTGATTTACAAGCTAATATAATAAACACAAGGTTTATATTCATAAATAAACACTATACAACAGCTAACCAACAACTAAACTACTTGAGTTTAAAAAATTTTGTCATCGTTTTTCTCTAGCCTCATGGTAGAATTTTTGGGCTAAGAAAGGTGTAACATAAATTTATTTAGACCAATAACAACAGCATAGAATTTTCTTGTCCCTTGATATCTAGCTCAAATTCGTTACAAAATTGTGTTAGTATAAATGTCAAAGTTTCCAAATTTCAAAAACTTTTGAATCATATATCCTATGATTAAAAAATCAAAGTAAAAAAAGCATAGTTAATTAGGTCACCCTAATTGGGTGGAAGTTCTAATTTAGTTGGAAGTTTGTCTATGTCAAAGAATTGATATGGCATATACGGATTAGAAGAAACATAAATCTAAATGCATATAACTACTCATGCTAGATGAAATTGATCAGAAGCACACTGTGGGCAAATGACATTTGATTTCTTGTCTTTGTTAACATCTTTCTCCATTATGTCACACATTATAAAACAGTCTTATAACCCAAAATATTAGCATTCTTCAGTGATTAAATAAAACATAAACTATAACCAAAGACAAGAAATAAAACATGAGACAAGAGGAGCACTTGGGAAAACAGGAAGTCACCCAATTAAATAAACATAAACAATCTGAAAATATAACAAGTAGAACAAAAGGTAACAAGGTCCTTGAAGAAAAAAAGATCAAGGAAAAGAAAATCAGTACCTATTAAGGCAGCCTTTTCATTTCAGTACACAGTGAGAGAAGAGAGAGAGAAAGGGCAAAAGCCTACTAAATATTAGAGCATAAAGATTTTTAAAAGAGAATCAATCAAACAAAGAGGTGAGAATATGAAACGATTGAAGTTCGATCTAATATTTGCTGGTTGAATACTTAATATAGGTACCTATAGGGTTTAAATGTATTTGTATGTGTATAGCTTGAATATGGAAAGATGAAATGTCCATTTTCAAGTTTTAGCATATGATATATTCAATGCACATTGAATATATAAGTCCCTAGTACATTAAACTTGAATAAATGTATCAAAAGAAAACCTTTCATTTTTCATTGCTACCGGTGCACCCACTTTTTATGTCAATAAATATACACAGCTTTAGCTCAAACCGACCGGTGCACCCACTTTTTTTGCCAATAAATATATACAGTTGCTATTCAAGTATGAATATGAAGAATCAAGACATTTAAAGATTTATATAATAACTAGTTGGTGTACACGTGCTTTGCACGTGAACAATTTCATTAGAATATTTTGTTTAGCACCAATATTAGAAAAAGTATCCCCGACAATACAAATAGCCGAAGTAAGTTCAGTAAGATAGTGATTTCATTTACCCCAAAAAATATTGAGATTTTAATTTCTTTTTTTGGAGGGGTGGGGACTCAAAAGCTGGAAAAATTTTAATCTCTATTTGCTTGACTTAAAATAAATAATATTTTTCAAAGGTACATAAATCAATAACTATCAGTTTTTTCAGTGTTTAATATAAAGTTCATGACACAAAAATCCATTGAAAGTATAAGACAAATTATTGTGATTATTGTAATTCTACACATTAATTTGACTTACATTAAGCGAAAATAGTGGGATTACACTCAATAAAATAGTGTCTATTGATCATTCTTTTGTAAAATCTAATTATATTTGACATTGTAAATGTACACCCAACGAAGAGATAGACTATCTAACACGCGGGTATGTCAAATACAAGACATGCTGACTTGAAAAGAGGATCACATAATCTTACTTCTACTTGTTGTTCAATGTTTTTGCAGCTTTTTCTTGAAATATTTTTTCCAAGATACAGAAGAGAGGAAAAAAAATAAGGTTGAGTTGAAGTTAAAAGTAATTGTCAAACTTACATTCAATCAAATAGCCAAAAAAACTAAACAAGTTCTTAAGGCAAACCCACAAGCTCTTTTTATTTTTTGGGAGAATCGCAAGCCCTCACACATATAAATAGTGGCAAAGGTGATTACCTAAGAATCAATCTCAGCAATATAGAGGGGGCACTTTCATGTTAAACAAATATATCAAGTAAGAAAATTTTTTACAACAATCCTTGAAACCTAGTAGAAAAGACATAAAGTTTTCAAAAAAAATTTGTAGTTAACATACACTCTTGATATTTTTCATGACCATAAAACCCAAACGCCAAGTCAAAATTTAATTTTCAAGATTTCTTGTGGTAACACTCAACTATTGGCCTATAAACATTAAAACTTCAAATAAATTCATGTGATTAGAATTAGAAGAATAAAAGTTGTCGAGCCAATTATATGGGGAAACAAAAAGGTAACAGAAAAGGTGATAGTATTGTTTTGTTATTACTCGTAATGGTATGAACATCATTAGAGTTTAAATCAATAATTAAAGTTGAAATAAATACATGAAAATATTAAGTTTATGCACATAATTAATTTAAGAAGATGAAAGAATAGGGGAGGAATGTGTAATTACTTGGAGAAGATGAAAGAAAATTATTTAAGGAAATTTTATGTTTTATGAAAAGTATTATAGTCAATCACAAGTTTTTTATTTTTGTTGATATTTTATAGTAGTATAGATAGATAGATATAGATTAAATATAAATGACTATCAAACATATTTTATTTTTTTATTTTTTATCACAAGAGAAACAAAAAAAAAATATTTTTTATTTTTTAAAAAATACAAAAATAAAAAAATTATCAAACGCAACCTAAACTATTCATGTTGACCGGAAGGTAATAGGTGTTGACATCACATATGATGTTAAAATTTTAAATTTGATTAAGAGCAATGCTATTAAAATATAATTTGAAGACATAATAAGTTGTCACCAATGATATAATAATGAATTCATTAATGCTACAATAGGACTCATTATTAAATACATTTCACTATCATTTCATTGATGACAACTCATTATGTCCCAAAATTATGTCCTTCAATTTTGTCTCAATAGCATTATTGTTTGACTAATAATGTCAGACAAACAGAAACCGTAAAAATTGACTTACAATGTTTCAAATTTCAACAATGAAACAAAATTTTGACCTAAAGACGAATAATTTGACTTTTTACTTGAAACCAAATCAAAATGATTAGGAAGTTCATGATTAGTGAATTTCTCGACCACCTCAGGTACATAATTTATGGTGCATGTTGATACGAAAATTGTATATATAGCTATGATGCAAATTAAGATAGCAACATGGCCTATAGGAACACTAATTCATGGACCAATATTGTTAGATACACTATTCTCGAGTTTGAGCTTTCAAATAGCCGACATATGCATAAGTTCAAAATCATATATTCATATTAGAGGTTTCATATATTCATATTAGAGGTTTTGGCCGCCATCTATGACCCATGATTAAACATATTTTGGA